CTGCGGTCACGCAAGTTTAAACTCAACTCAAAGCTGTCGTTTTATAACATTTCTATGCTCCTTCTTTTATGCGCTGGTGATATTGAAAGTAATCCTGGCCCGGCTGTCGACCCTACTCAGTTGTTCAGATTTGTTAACGCCGCGGAGATCTTAGTCGGGTCGTCTGTGGCCATCTCGGACCTAACCTCCGGTATCTATGATGCTTCTATCCTCAAAGTTGACAACGATCGCTTCTTTGCTCACTTTCGTGGTTGGAATAAAAGCTATGACTCCTGGGTCAACCTTGATCAAATTTTCCGGCTCCCTGATGGTTATGTTCCGATAGGCCGGAATTCTCGCGGTCATATTTGCCTTCTCGCGCCTCCTGTCTCCAGTCCTATCTCTGTCGCTTTAACGAGTTCTCCTTCTCGGGATGCTCCTGTTAGCTCTGGCCTCTCTCAAGGGATGTCAAGTATGACGATCTCGGCTGAGCTCGCCGAAAGCGCTGTGCCGGATCTTTCTGACGTCATGTCTTCCAGAGTTGACACTGTCCGGTTCGTTCCGATTTCTCTTCGTAACGAGTGGTCTGAGGTTGTTGGTCACGCCCTTGACAACTGCGCCACCGCTCCGGACAATCTGAAAAACTGGACTCGGTTGCTCATGCTCCCCAAATGTATCTTGAAAGCCCCTCGCCGCGGAGGCAAGTCTCACGCCGCTAATAACTGCAGAGACATTCGCCATAGAATCAAGTCCTGGAAGGAGGGCAATATTTCGGACCTCTGGTCTAACGCTACCAAAGGACCTAAAGAGCGAACGAAGAAAAACAGCAAACCTTCTCCTGACTTTAATGTCCGCAGAGCCAAAGAGCTAGCAGGCCTCGGTCAGTTCGGCAGAGCAGCTAAAGCCCTGTGTTCCGATGGCCTCGTGTCCAAAAGTGACGAGTCGCTTAAGGACCTTCGCAGTCTTCATCCTTCCGCTGACCCTCCTGTCTTTTCTGGCCGGGATGAATCCCCTCTTGCCTACCAATTCGAATCTGAGTTCGTTCATAAGTCTCTCAAAAGTTTCCCGAGCGGCACTGCTGCCGGTCCTTCGCGCTGGTTTCCTGAGCACTTTGTTCACGCCGTTGAGTGCCCCACTCCTCAGACTGCTGCCAGAACGTTAGAGTCTCTCAACAGGGTTGTTAATATCCTCGCTGCCGGGCAAGCCCGTTCTAGTCTTTCTCCGTGGCTGTGCAGTGCGAATCTCTTTGCCACCGCTAAACCCAAGGGTGGTGTCTGGCCTATTGCTGTCGGCGAAGTGCTCCGAAGGCTCACTGCTAAATGCCTTGCTAAAGCCGCCAACGCTGAAGCTCGTGATTTTCTGTGTCCTCACCAGCTTGGAGTCGCTACCAGCGGTGGCTCGGAAGCCATCGTCCACGCTACTAAAATGACAGTCAAAAAGTGCTCGGAACAAGGTCACCAAGGCGTCTTAACAGTGGATTTTGAGAACGCTTTCAACACGCTAGACCGCACCGAGATCCTCCTTCAAGTTCGCAATCGTCTTCCCGGTCTCTCCGCCTTTGTTGAGTTTACCTACGGTCACCACAGTCATCTGCTGTTCGAGGATGTCATTCTCAACAGCGAGAAAGGAGTTCAACAGGGGGATCCGCTAGGGCCTCTCATTTTTGCGGTCACCCTGCACTCTCTAGTCGAATCTCTCAAGTCGGAAGTCCCCGGTCTCACCCTCAACTGCTGGTACCTTGATGATGGGATTTGTGCCGGCGACGAAGACTCCTTGCTCAAGGCTCTCGAACTCATCACTTCCAACGGCTTGCATCTCGGCCTCAAAGTCAAGCACAGTAAGTGTGAGTTGTGGGCCCCTGTGGAGTTCTCCTCCATCCCCGTCTCTATCCCGAGAGCAGCGTCTAATGGCTTCGAGCTTCTTGGCGCCCCCATTGGTGATACTGAGTTCTCAGTTAAAGTCCTGGACAAACGCATCTCGAAGGCCACCAAATGTCTTGAAAAGTTACCTCTTCTTGATGACCCCCAGCTCTCACTTGGCATCACTCGCACTTGCCTTGCTGCTCCCAAGCTGACGTACTCTCTTCGCACTCAGCCGCCCTCTCAGCCTGTCGCAGCTTCCCTGCAAGTTTTTGATGAACTCCTCCGCGATGCTCTTTCTGTCATAGTTGGCTCACCTGTTCCTGATCTTGCCTGGTCCCAGTCTTCCCTGCCTATCAAAGATGGCGGACTTGGCGTCCGGCAAGCTCGCGACCAACACATCCCTGCCTTCCTAGGGTCTTCGTGTCAGTCAGCTCATTTGGTCTCGTTTCTTACCGAATGCGACATCACTGATACGCCGGAGTTCCTGCGTGCCTCGAACGACTTCCGTGAACAGTCTGGAAGCGTTAACACTCCCGGTTTTACTCAAGAAGCTTTCCAAGAGAAACTCGATAAGGCCACCTACAACGCTTTCTTCTCGTCTCTTCCCGATTCCCGCGAGCAAGCTCGTCTTCAGTCGCTCTCTCTGCCTTACGCCGGCGCTGGGCTTACTGCAGTCCCCATTAAAGGTCTTGGCCTGCACCTGCTACCTGCTGCGTTCCAAGCTGCTGTCAGATACCGCCTTGGTCTTCCTGTGTTCGCGTCTGCTCGTAGGTGCCCCGCGTGTCCGTCTGGCATTCTGGACGTCCTCGGGGACCACGCTGTCGCTTGTGGGGGGAGTGGTGGCCGGATCTCCCGTCACGACAGACTACGGGACATTATTTTCAATGCTACCTCGGCTGCCTCTTTAGCCCCCATCAAGGAGCAACGGAACCTCATCCCTGGAGAACGGTCCAAACCCGGCGATATTTTTATACCTACTTGGAGCGCTGGTCGCCCAGCTGCTTTCGACGTCACCGTGACATCCCCGCTGCAGTTATCTCTTCTCTCTCGTGCGGCGGAGACCCCCGGGGCGTCCCTGGAAGTTGCTGAGGACCGCAAATTTTCGAAACACGAGAAAAACTGTGAGGAACAAGGAATCAGTTTTTTCCCGTTAGCAGTCGAAACGCTCGGGGGTTGGTCCGCTTTAGCTATCAAAACCCTCAAGTCAGTTGCTATCCTCGCTGATGCCAGACCTTCTGGTTCACGTGACGCTCGTGTTGCCCCAGTTCGCCTTCTCCAGAGCCTCTCAGTGTGCCTCATGAGAGGAAACGCCACTATGATTGTCAGCCGGGCCATCTAGTCTTGTGCAGTTTATTACGTTTTTTGCATTCCCAATTCTGGTGCTCCTTTGTTCCTTTGCTGTTAGCGCAAATTAGTTTTAGTTTTCTTTTACTGGAATGATGTTCTATTTGCTGAAAACAAGTCTAGAAACACAATCGACGGCGTTCAATGAAAATTTAAAATTAATTAACGAGGAGCAACTGAGCCGGCAAAACTTGGGTAAATTGCCGTAGAACCGAAACCAAAATTGTTGTCATGAAAATATTTGATTTATAAAATCTGTTCTACAATTTTTTAACAATTTAAGCGATTCGGTGGGGAGCACTAAAGTTATGGTTTACTTGAAACGACCCAAAATTAGGTCACTCAGCCAATCAAATTTGAGCCGAAATCATTTCAGTCGAATTCAGTTTTTAAGCGAAATATATATATATATATTTATAGAAGTCAAAGATAGTTAAGTTACAAATTGAAGGAGTAAGTCAAAATATAATAAGAAATGCAATGAAAAAGGCGTACAACAAAACAAAACAATTCTAACATAAACCGACAAAACATAAGCAGACAAATAATAGGCCAAGGAATTTTTTTGAAATGGAATATTTCCCGTTAAAAAAAACAGGTCCTGGTCAAATTCGAACCCGTGACCTTCGCCGTTCTAGACGTATTCATTACTCTCCTCTCGACTCAGTGTGCCGGAGACGCTCAAAAATTATGAACCAAGAGACCAATTGATTTACAAACAAAATTTTATCCCAAAACATAGTCAACTGACAATTGGAAAAAAGTCATTGAACGCAATTAAATAAAACAAAAATACCCACTTGTTTTTCAAAAAATCCTCTTTCGAATTTAAAAGAAAAAATAGATGCCCGTATCAATAATCTCAAGCATCAATAATTTCAAGCATCTCGATCATAATTTTCAGCAAATGCTTTCCTCCTCTCGCGCCTTATGATAATTCATTCCCATCCCTGACAGGAAGAGGTGGTCAGAAGTTTCCCGAAAAAGAAAAATGGCGTTTAGTAGTACGTAAGCACAAAACAAGAATTTTTGGTTGGATTGAAAGCTGGAGAAGCTCGATTTCGCTTACCTAAAAACTGTAACTCACCTCGGTTCCATTCAAACAGCAATTGTCAACTTACTTGTCTAGGTGTAGAATGTACCATCGGTGCATTTCGTTTCATAAAAGGTTTAAGACTCAAAGAATCGGAAACTGTTTCAGCAATCAATAGCCCTACTTGACGCGTCTGCGAATTATTTTCTCTTTGAGTTTGCCATATTGAACATATCTGCTTCTGACTTAAAGCAAATGCTTTTAAAGCATCTTCGCAGAAATTCACAGTAAAACAGAGCGCAGAGTTCATGTTTATCTTCACCTGAAAGTCTAGATTCAAGGATAATTTTGTTTACACCAGTCTGCTCATAATATAAGGAAACGAAAATTTCCTATTTTCTGTTAAATATTAATATTGAGGTCTTAACTTGAACTAGTTTGTCTATTTCAACCAAGATTTACGACATCAGACTATTCAAATTTTGTCAGGGAACAATTAACAATCATAAAATATGTTTGATTTTGTTTAAAACGTCGTGTCTGACGGGAGCAAATTCTTTAAACAAGATTAATACTTTAAACAAGATTGAACGACAGTTATGTAGAAACCGAGGTGTTATTATCACTAAATTCAAACATCTCAAGTTCTTAGTTTATACGATAGCACGGAAAGTCGAATCAAATAGTGACCTGGTGGTCTCCTACAATAATTCCAATCCCAATTTTCTACAATTGAGTTTTTTCATCACTCAAAAATATTTAGCAACTACTACTAATAAAAATAAATGGTGAAAATTATATTGAAAAGTAAAAAAAGTCAATATTCACAATTTAATCTTTCAATCATCATTAACATATACACTTCAAAATCTAGTCATCAAGTTTATCAGAGTCAATCAATGCAGTAACAGCAAACTTTAGACTACCCTCGGAATGTTTCATGTATTCTTTGCAAATTTCCGCAGCTTGAAGCAGAAATGTGTCAGAAGTTACGTCACCGTGCACAACAGGTCCTTCTTTCGCGCCGTCAAGTTCGACCAATTTTCCGTTGAAAGGGACAAAGGCAACAAAATGTTCGTCGACTTTTTCTTTTGGATCCTCCGGAGGCGCAGTATCACCTTGTTGCGCAAAACTATCATGAACCGCTGCCAACTCGTCACTGGTCTCCATAGACTTGGCGATATCAACTGGATTCATCCCCTTAGTTCTGCTGACAAATGATCCTAACTTTGATCCCTCAGAAAGAACATAAGGCTTCACGTTGGCCAATATATGCATCATTGCAACGCTACCACAAGCATTAGAAACTGTTTGATGAGTATACCACAAGCCCTCTGGAAACATTTTGGGATCAGTGACTGTCTTGTCAGCTAATTGTTGCCTCATTGCTCTGGCAGCTGGAGAAGGCATTAGCAAACAAATTGCATGGACAGGAGCGGGAACCATTGCCAATAAGGCCTCATCTAATCCATAAACATCACAGTACGCTATTTTTTCTTCTGCGCCAAGTGCATATGCATATTTAGTGAAGACTGACGGATTACTCTCCAGTGGAACCCAGTGCATATCTGAAAAAAAACCATTTCAGTAACTGGACGAAACATTTTTTTTATTATTATTATTATGAAAACTTTACATTGCAAAAACAATGAATGAATATAAAATTCCGTTTAAAGTCGACCAGTTGCTCTGCATTTCGAACAGAGGCAGAAGAGCCTCCAAGTGCACTTAATGTATTCGTTGCAGGTGTGTTCTACATGATGCCACATCAGTTTGAGGAGTTTGGCTTTAAGGCCGATATCCCACACGTCGATGTTGTAAAGGTGCTGACCCTTAGCAGATTTAGCACTTCTGTACCAAAAGTTATTAATCTTATTAAAGTCGAACCATTGCATGAACAGGAGCGGGAACCATTGCCAATAAGGCCTCATCTAATCCATAAACATCACAGTACGGATTATCTTCAACATGAGTGTGACATTCGACCAGAATGGATGAAAATGCAGTTTCGAATTCGTGGCCGCTGACCTGGAGGATTAACGATTTTAGCAGATTAGCGACGTTATTTGAGCGATTCGACGAATCGTGAAGGTCAGAATATGTAACATTCGCCCGGAAGATACATATCGACGGAAAACAAAACTAAGTCTTAAGACGACTGGCTAACGTCTAAACAGAGCTTTGCATGCTTTTCACCGTCTCTACCAAGCCAGTACTTTCGGTGGTCTTTCCAACATCGGGTCGACAAAAACGTCACTGTTCTCCGGCTTCGACCAGAACGCTCAAATTAACTTAATTACATGCAAATAGTGAGCTCATGGCTGGGTCTCAGTATCCCCAGACCACGAGGTCACTCCTAAAAACAGGGCTACTACTTATTATATTACTATTGTTTTTGTTCAGTAGATAAAAATCATCATCTCCATCGAAGATGGATCAACCCTTTCCCCCCCCCCCCCCCCCCGGAATATTCTAGCCCTCACCGTTTGGCCAATCGTTCCAATAACGTTCTTAGTTCTTAATAACCACAAATCCGGAAGGCTTACTGCTAAAAATTCGAAGTCTGCGCAAATTGCATTTTGGCCATTCTGGTCGAATGTCACATACTCCCCGGACAGTCCGGTCAATGTCCTCATTGAATCGCGCAATGTTCGTAAAATGGTTACAGTGTCATCGAACAGAATTTACAAAATGCACGAAATTACTTTTATCCACGTCACATCGACTCACTTCAGAATATAAATGGCATCATACTACATCATTATAGCCTTCAAATTCTCTCATTAATCTGCACATTGAGGATACAACCTAAGATAAAACATATTTTCTGACTTCCTATGTCAATGTCCCGATTAAAACTTTTTCTCTTAGATTTAAAAGGTGTTGGCTTGCAGGACAGTCCTGCCAACCAACAAGCTAAAATTATCCTACTATGCTTTTTCCCTTCGGAAATCTTGCTTGTTATTGTCCTGTAATTTTAAAACTAAGAAACTTTGTGGTTAGAAAGAACAATGAAACAATCTCCCTCTTCGAGAGATTACTCAAGCCTTCCACGTCACCACAAAGTGATCAGTTTTCCTAAGTGATTAAAAACAATCATGCAGGCTGGAATTTTTAAATATACTCTTCTCTTAAGCCTTTCTAAATAAATAATAAGTGAGTGTCTCTAAAGCCACTTCTGCTAAAATCAAAATGCAAATTTACAAATGCAACAATTTCAAAACTCAACTAAATGTTTCAGTTTTCAATTACAACTTGGTTGCTTGGTTTCTCACTTGAGTTTTTCACACACATAAAACAATTCTGAGTTTTAACTTTTCCTCATCACTCCTTTGTTCTCTTCTTTTTTCGTCGTTTAGAAGTTCTAAAACTTCTAAATTCTTCTAATTTTCTTTCTTGTTGCCTCTTGTTTTCTCGACCATTCATCAATGTTCCATTTCTTCCTCCTGTGATACTGACTCCGCACTTTCGGTTTCCGTGTCTTGTAGCACATCGTTGGCTATCCTGACGCTGTTGGAAGCCGTCCTCCAACACTTCTGCTCTTCTACCCTCTGTTTACAGCAAGGTAGGGGATCCACGTTGGATTCTCTGTTTCTGCAGAAACTGTTGTGGAGACACAACGTCACGTTTCTCTCCAAATATTCTTTCAGCATCTCTGCCTTCTCATTTCCACTACGCTCACTCGTCCTGGAAATTCTTTTCACGGCGGTGGTCACTGCATTCCGATGAGTCACGAGAGCTCGCTTGAAAGCTCCTGCTCCAATGTCCAGCTGATATTCACTGTACACCCTGCCGTGCTTCGACATATGCTTTTATGCATACTCGTACAACCATGCAGTCATGTTAGCTCTGAACCATGGCATCAATCGTTTTCTCGCCCATATCTTCTTCACTTCCATCGGAATGTTTAGAACTTTGCACATTGTCTCAAAAAGATCTAAATCTTTTAGACAATCTAATTTGCGCAATTGTTCTCTCGTCGGCGCCTCCTGTCTAATATTTTCTCTCACATGAGCTTCCAGCCATCGTATCGCCATCATAACTCCCACTATCACTATTGTTACGGGCTGTGATGAATCTGGTAAACCCATGGAGAGCAGCTCTCCAGAGTCCCAGATCAACATCAGATTATTACGCTTGGGATACCACCAGGTCTGCAGCAAGCAGTGGCAAGGAAACTCGTCATGCGTCAACATGATGCTCCACCAATTACGTTTTCCCGAAGCTTCCAGCAATGGTTCTACTTCCATCATCACTCGGTGGATTTCATCATTCTCAGCTACTGCATTGTAATCTGTGACAGTTGATCCTCTCTGTTTCTGTTTTTCGAAGTCACTGAAGTTCCCGCTCACATATCCCATGAACTTCTTTCCTAGTATTGACTCCAACTCTTCTTTGGTTCTCTCTGGAATTGCTGAGAACATCTTACATAGTAACTCGTAAGACTTTTCAGACATTCTCGCCAATCTCACACACTTCGGCACTGAGAAGGCTTGATCCACAATCGTTCTTGTACTCTTCACGTCCACAGCTACGAAATGTACAGGATATCTGCTCTTGCACATTGGAGCCAACGTTGAACCCACCAAATATCGTGCTCCTGATGGTCTACAATAAGTTTCACTGTGTCTGATGTTCATCTCTGTTTCGATTGCTTCCCTCCATTTTCCTATATACTTCTGCTCAGTCTGCAGAACTCCTGGGAATACTTCTACGCTGATGGCTGTGACCATCTCATGTTTCTGTTCTAGATTCAATAGTGACTCTAAAGAACCAAACATGCTGTAGAATCCTAGTGCAGTCACTAGATTCACATCGGTTCCTCCATGGCAATCTGCTATCAGTTCCGTCTCCGTTCTTGCTTTCATCACTACATTTCCAAACAATACTGTCAATTGCTTGTGTTGTTTCTCCAGGGTTTTCACACAGTCTAGACCTCCACAAACATTACCCTCCAGTCCACAGACTTCCGCCAGACAGCTACCAGGTTTGACCCAGTCTTCTGGTCCCCAGCCAGGCAACTCCACTTTATCTTCTCCGTTGCTCTTAGAGGCTGTTATCATCACATTATATATGATGTTGAGGTCACGCAGGTTACAGTCTGCATTCAGTTCCCTCTGTACGCCTTGTGTCGCCCGTAATATTGAGTCAGCGTTGGGACTAGGACACCATGATGGCCTCATCAATTCCCACACTGCCATCAAGCTCGTTCTCAGTAATTCATCTGAGAATCCCAACCCAAACTCCACTCTTTTGTCGGATTTTGGTACTGAAGGTGCAGTCACCTCTTCTTCCAATACCAGTCCCAATTTGGCCTGTGGCTTGTTAACGCTCTTAATCGTCACAATTCTGGACGTCCAGAATCTTAGTAACACCGCCTGCTCATAATCAAAGAAGCAATCGCGTATGTCTTCACTCAGGAAAGGATTGTACGCTATCCCTATGATCCCGGATACGTAGCTATATGACTTCTTCTTGATCGGTCCACAGTATTCACTGGATTTCGGCAATGCTCCCATAGATTCTTTAGTGAGTCTCAAGTCCTTGTTTGAGAATCTCCTGATCTCGTCTATCTTTTTCATGGGTTCCAATTCTTCAGGTTCTTTCATGTTTACCCTCATCGGCTTGATTTGATGCATCTCCAGCAGTGATAGCAAGAGTAAGGCTTTTGCTCGTTCATCGCCCTCCCTCAACATCTTGACACAGGTGTTCAATGTTGGTACTGAAACCTGCTCTATCAGGAATCGAATGAAACAGAGAGCATCTCTCCGCTTCGCGCACGCTACTGCCATTCCTTCCTGGATTATCAGATCCCTCAGGTTCGTCATCAGGAATACCTTTTCTTCTTTTGACCTTTTCCTTTCTTCTGAATCATATTTCCCGCGAGTTAATCCCATCATGCACCAGGCGAACCTCAGTTGCAATTCGGTTCTCACCTAAGGTACTGCCATGAGAGCGTGTATTCTCGGCGTAGTCCTCATTTCCTCTTCAAAGTACCTCAACACCACTGCTTTCCATGGAAGGCTCACTAATTGCTCGATCGTTTACGCCTGCATCTCAGACGACGCTAGAGTCCCGTACGCCTTCTGCTTGAGGGTGGTGCCTCGCAACATCGTCTCCAGATAACCCTCCATGGCACCCTTGTCTTCCAGAGCCATCACATACCCTCTAGCCGAGTTTCGGTATTCTAACATCTCCATGTATCCACCGGCGGGTTCATCTATTGACACCGTCTCCGACACTGTCAGTCGGTTATACTCCACTGGTACTAGTTGTCCTGCGACACATCCCTTTCCGTGGTTCATGGGATATGGTTTAAAGTCTTTCATCGTGCTTTCTCCACATTGACTAAGTATTTCCATTTCTAAGGTTGCTCCAGTCAGAGTGCGGTCACTCCTTTTGGATTTATAGCCGGTTGACTTTATCCCCGCCATGAGAATGGGTGGCACCATCGCTATATCAGTTAATACTCTATCTGTGCCAGACAATTGATAATCACCTTGCCCCAAATCCATGACCTCCTCGACTCGTTTTCTTTTCGCTGAGTTACCAGCTTTCATCGATATTTCTGAA